ATCAGTTGTCAATATTCCTTTAGATAAGATTGGGGTCTGCTGTTCATTTTCCCAGTTCTATGCTGGGAGACTTTATTATAACAGTGCTCTAAACAGTACCTCCCACAGTATAGACTAGTTGCCATTTGCATATACTTGAGAAAATGAGAAGAAAAAAAAAATGGTGGAAAAAAAGAAGTGGAAAACAATACGTTAGAAATCACTGTCCCTTGAAACAGGTGACAAAAAAAGTCATTAAGGGTGGCTGGGGAGACAGCTCAGTAGTTAAGAACATGTACTGCTGTTGCAGAGGACCAGGGTTCAGTTCCCAACACCCATATCAGGTGGCTCATAACTGTCTATAGCTCCAGCTGCCAGGGATCTAACATGCTTTTCTTTTTTAAAAAAATTTATTTATTATTTTTACTTTATGTGTACAAGTGTATTGCCTGTATGTGAGTGCACCTGTGTTGTGCAATGCTGCAGAGGTCAGAAGAGGGCTTCAGATTCCCCTGAAACTGGAGTAAATGATGGTTTGTAGCTGCCATGTGGGTGCTGGGATTTGAATCCAGGTCCTCTGCAAGAGCAGTCAGTGCTCTTTAACCAGTGAGATGTTGGATCTCTGTGAGTTCAAGGCCAGCCTGGTCTACATAGTGAGTTCCAGAACAGCTGGGGCTACAGGGAGGCCCTGTCTCAAAAAGACAAAGAAAAAATGTAAATCTTTTTTAGAAATTTTTATGTATAGAGCCAGACATGGTGGGGCACACCTTTAATCTCAGCACTCAGGAAGTAGAGGCAAGCAGATCTCTGTGAGTTCAAGGCCAACCTGGTCTACATAGTGAGTCTCGGGCCAGCTGGGGCTACAAGGGGTCCCTGTCTCAAAAAGACCAAAAAAATGTTTTATATATATGAGTGTATCACCTGCATGTATGTAAGTGCACCCATGTTGTGCACTGCCCATGAAGGTCAGAAGAGGGCACTGGAATCCTCTGGAACTGGAGTTACAGATGGTTGTTAGCCATCATGTGGTTGTTGGGAATTGAACCTGGGTCCTCTGCAAGAGCAACCAGTGCTCTTAACCACTGAACCATCTCTCCAGTCCTGTATCTTTTTTTAATTTAAAATCAATGATGTATATTTGGGTGGGGGCATCTGTGTACATGCATACAGGTGCTTTCAGAGTCTAGAAAGAGGATGCTGGATCCCCTGGAAACTGGAGTTACTGGCGGTTGTGAGCTGCCTGACTTGGGTGACAGAAACCAAACATGAATTATCCACAAGAGCAGTATTTGCTGTTAACCACTTAGCTATCTCTCCAGCCCCCAAAATAAATTAAAAATAAAAGAAAATTAAGATATTTCCCTTTAACATATTTGTTATTTTTGCCTATTTGCTCCAACTTACATGCCAATGTGCACTTATATTACAAAGGAAAGGAGTGAGTTTTTATTTTTTTGATTTTTTTCACTTTTATGCATATGAATCCTTTGCCTGTGTATATGTAAGTGCACCCGTGTGTGAAATGTCCACAGAGTACAGAACAGCATGTCGGATCCCCTGGAACTGGAGTTAGGGACAGTTGTTAGCTATCGTGTAGGTTCTAGGAACCAAACTCAGGTCCTCTGCAAGAACACCCAGTACTCTTAACTACTGAACCATTCCTCCAACCCCACAAGCTCTTAATTGTGCATTCCAACTACTCTACAGTAGTTTGAAACAATGGAAAGTCACTTTCATCTGAGGATACTGATTTCTGTCCAAAAATGCTTTCTATAATGAAGAACATGTTCTATAATTTTAGCTTTCCAATATATAACCCATATATGGCAACTGAACACAATTTCATCACATTAAAGTCTAAGAAATATTGATTTCAATCATTGAGAAATCCTGACATCAATGGTACTCATTAGCCAAGCATAATTTGACAGTTACCAATGTCCATGTAACAAACTCATTCTACCTCTAAATTTATATATCGTACATGTGATATTATCACAGTCCTCTGATCTGTGGCTTTAACAGCTATCAGTATATAACATATTAATATTTTCCAGTTATGTATCCATCATCAAATTGGCAGGCAGTTAGGTAATGGCCAGATTGTCACCACCTAGTGTGGTTTCTTTTATATTATTTCCTTGAGACTCCATTGAGAAGATTTTCTGAAGGGACACAATAATCTTTCTGGCAGCTTGTGTCTCATTTTAAAACATAGAAAACAGGGCAGTGCTCTGGGAACCTATTTCCCCACAAACACATTAACGTTGAATTTGACACTCCTGATACCACAATAGATCTAAAATAAATGTATACTTTTAGTAATTCACACTTTTATCATTAGCAAAACTAAAGTATTTCCAAATGCTGACTTGGTGTGTATTTCCAGTTATCACTCTTTGTTCATCCCCTTTGTCTAATGGAGAAGAGGTAGACAGTTAATTGTCAACTTGACTGGCTTTGGAATCACCCAGAGGTGTGTTTGCGAGAGTGTTTCCAGAGAGGTTTAACTGAGGAGCGAAGAGTGGGTGGAATCATCCCAGGGGCTGGATGAAGTGCAGACTGGATAGAAAGGAGACAGTGGACTGAGCACCAGCACTCGCCTCTCTTTGCTTCCTGACTTGTGGACACCATGTGACCAGTTGCCTCACACTCCTGCCACTACAGCTTAGGCCTGCTCTTATCACCACACCTTCCCCATCACGATGGACTGTACCCTTGAACTGTGAGCCAGAGTAAACCCTTCCTTCCAGAAGTTGCTCTTGTCAGGTGTTCTCATCCCCAGTAGCAGCAACAAGAAAGTTTTTTCTGGCTCCTTTTATTGCTGATTGCTTTATTTTGTTTTCTGCAGAAGTAGGGACCAAATCCTGGGCCTCC